TACTTGTAGAGCTGTAGCAAATTCTGAGCGGATCATGAGGAAGTTAGGATGTCCTCAACGAAGACTCATATCTGTTTCAGTGGAAAATATGAGACTAAGGCATTGGCACTTTAGTGCTAGGATGAGTTTACCACAATTGATATGGACCCTTGTAGCAATAATTACTTTCATTACAAATAAAAATGTCCATGTCTCATTTTCCTTATTCTCCTCTAAACCAAACTTTCAAAAACATTTTCCAAGCTGGGGATGGAACCAATATTTGACCCAGCTATTCCCCTTCTCGGACTATACCCAAAAGACCTAAAAAGAGCAAACTACAGGGACACAGCCACATCAATGTTTATAGAAGCACAATACACAATAGCTAGAATGTGGAACCAACCTAGATGCCCTTCAATAGATTAATGGATTTTAAAAAATTGGCATTTATACACAATGGAATATTACTCAGCACTAAAAAATTAAAAGAGAATGGCATTTGTAGGCAAATGGGTGGCATTAGAGCAGATTATGCTAAGTGAAGTTATCCAATCCCTAAAAAACAAATGCCGAATGTCTTCTCTGATATAAGGGGGGGGTGACTCAAAATGGGATAGGGAAGAAGAGCATGAGAAGAAGACTACCACTAAATAGGGAAGAGAGGTGGGAGGGAAAAAGAGGGAGAAGGGGAGTTGCACAGAAGATGGAAGGAGAACCTCATTGTTATACAGAATACATATATGATGTTGTGATGAGAAAAAGGAAAAAAAGTGTGTCACTTTAGATTGGATAGAAAAAAAGGATGGAAGAGAAGGGGAGGAGTAGGGAGGATAGGAAGGGCAGCAGAATAGAATAGACAATATGATTGATGTATGTACATTCCATGTATGTACATTCTGCTGTCATGTATGACTAAAAAAATAAAAATAAATCTTATGGTAAAAAAAAAAAATTTCCATTTGATGTTTTTGCTTTCTCAYTTGCCATTGTTTCCTCTGTATACTCCAGTAGGACCTTGTTCCTTACTATTTCTTAAAAGCACTGTACTAAGCTCTACACGACCTCCATCTTGCCCACAATCAGGGTTTTTAGTCCTGAAGGAATTTGCCGCAATTGATCATTCACTCCTTCCTGGAGTACTTTTTATTCTCTTTGGCTTCTGGAACATCATACTGTCCTGATTTTTTTCTTAACTCCTGAATGTTGCAATAATCAAGTAAATTCTCTCCATTCTTTGTCTTTAAATAAAATCTGTATGCTGATATCTCCTGCATGCATATCTTCAGATCTTCAGCTCTGACCTTTTCCCACCTCTCCAGAATAATCTATACAACTGACTATTTCATTGTCTCCCTTCAGTGCCTACTAAGTCATAAGGCAGAGTTTTTGCTGTTACCTTATGAGCTAGAATCTAGAGTGCAAAATCTTACTGCTTTCTTCCCAGCACATGTACAAACCTATAAACGATGCCAATAAACACACGGGAAAGTGTTCCCAATACTTTAGGCCCAKATAAGGAATTAAAATCTGATTGTTTAATTTAGTATATCTTAGGTCGATAGGAACTAGGAAAACATTAAGCAGAGAATTTAAAAATTCTCTTTCCCTTATAATAAGCACCAAAAGTATGGGTGTGGGTGAATATAAAACCAGTCAAGGGGGATGTGCTATATGAGAATTCAATACCTTTAGAAATACTATTTTTAAAGCAGGAAGAGAAGAAGAGTTATTCATGAAGAAAACTGAGAAAGAGAAAAGTAAAATATATAATGTTCACTAAGCAGAAAAAAAATGTGTGAATGTGAGAAAGCAAATGTCAAATAGGAATCTCAAACATAGTAAGAAGCAAGAATCAGCCAGGTATGGTAGCACATGCCTGTAATCCCAGCGGCTTGGGAGGCTGAGGCAGGAGGATCACAAGTTCAAAGCCAGCCTCAGCAAAAGCAAGGTGCTGAGCAACTCAGTGAGACCCTTTCTCTAAATAAATACAAAAAATGGGGCTGGGGCTCAGTGGTCAAGTGCCCCTGAGTTCAATCCCTGGTACCTCCACTTCCAAAAAAAGAGAAGAAGCAGCAAGAATCCCTTCAAACAATGTCTAGCCCAGGGAAAAATGACAAACTACAAGCACAACCATTTTTCTGACAAAATTTAATATTTACTGAATTGTATTCTTGCCAATTGAAATATTTATTAAATTCTGGTCTTTGCCATTTTTCATGTTATTCCTGCTTTACATTTTTATATTCTTGCCTGCTGTTGATCTTGGACTCTTTTCAACCCTCCCTGCATAGCTTTTCTGGCTTGATGCACAAGCTGCCTTTCCAGCTCACAACCCTTGGCTTCACGCCTTCCTTATGGCCCCTCTGTAAATTAACTCAGTAATGCTGTGCGAACTGGCCCTAAAACCTCCCTGACCACCCATGTGCTGTCCTGAAAAGAAGTTTCTACAAGGGGCTTAAAATATGTGTATGTGAATGTATAATRTRWKAAATTAGCATGTACAAATATCTAACATTCTAGAAACTAGGAATATGTAAATAATTAAGAAAGATTAATAAAACAAGTTTTGTGTATAATTGGGTTGCTATCAAGAGGATCTATAGGAAGATAGGATGTGCTGATCTGCTTATGAAGAACACTTAGAAAAGTAAAGTGATCTATAAGGAGAGAAATATAGAAAGATACAAAATACAATATGTATGTATATACATACCATGTGTATATAGTGTATGTGTATGTATTTGTGTGTGTGTATATATGTATATATATATATATATGTGGGTATGTATGTGTATAAGCACTCTGGTAAGTGCTAGGATAAGGGGAACAGAATATGAAAGTTCAGAGTCAAGCAAGGACTCATATAGTTAGCTTTTGAACTCAATCTGAAGGATACAAAGGAATTTGGGCATAAAACAAAAGAAAGAAAACTTTCCAGATTAGGAATACTTACACAAAGAAAAGGAATGTTGAGATGATACTTTAGGAGTTCTTCATGCGCTTTGGATTCTGATCCTAGACTGTACTTTCTAACTCGTGTTCCCCTTTTGATATCTTCTGTCTCACTCTCTTTAAATGGGTTCATTTTATTCATTTCTTTCACACCTTGTACTTCTACTCCATTGATTTTTTTTCCTATACTGCCTAACTCTCCTATTTTTTTCTCTTCCTATATTTTTTTTGCCAGATACCAGGACCTTCTTTAATAACATCAATATATATTGGTTCCACATTTGATCCAAAGAGCTAACTTCTGTGATATTACATGAGTCACCTTCAATTTCTTTTTTTTTCCCCCCTCCAGCGTGGAAGAGCCATCATAAGACCACAAAGTCAACTCAAACACAGGACTCTTCATTTCAGAGATTGATAATGAACCGATCCAGAAGGAATGGACTTGGACCCTTGGACTTGAAATCAGAAAAATCATGCATATATGAAGGCAAATTAGAGAAAAAACAGGATAAAAAGGAAATTTTTCAGATAGTTTCAGYCACCCACAAAAAAACCTTAATTGTAGAAAGAAGCCATAAAAATGTTGAATTTAGCCAGAACTTCAACCCAAYGTCAGTAGTTGTTAGGCAACAGATAGTTCCCAGAGAGAAACCACCACCAAAATGTGAAAAAAAAGGAAACACTTTGAAACATAATTCAAATTTACCTAATCAGCCAAAAATGACAGCAGATAAACGCTATCAATGTAGTATGTGTGAGAAAACCTTCATTAATACTTCATCCCTTCGTAAACATGAGAAAAATCATAGTGGAGAGAAATTATTTAAATGTAAAGAATGTTCCAAAGCCTTTAGCCAAAGTTCAGCTCTTATTCAACATCAAATAACTCATTCTGGAGAGAAACCTTACATATGTAAAGAATGTGGGAAAGCCTTCACTCTCAGTACATCCCTGTATAAGCATCTAAGAACCCACACTGTGGAGAAATCCTATAGATGTAAGGAATGTGGTAAGTCCTTCAGCCGAAGGTCAGGGCTTTTTATACATCAGAAAATCCATGCTGGAGAAAACCCTTATAAATATAATCCAGGTAGGAAAGCATCTGGTTGCAACACATCCCTTCCTGGTCAAAGAGTTCATCCCAGAAAGAAGTCCTATTTGTGTAACGAATGTGGCAACACCTTTAAATCTAGTTCATCCCTTCGTTATCATCAGAGAATTCACACCGGAGAGAAACCTTTCAAATGTGGTGAATGTGGGAGAGCCTTTAGTCAGAGTGCATCACTTATTCAACATGAACGAATTCACACTGGTGAAAAGCCCTATCGATGTAATGAATGTGGAAAAGGCTTCACTTCTATTTCACGACTCAATAGACATCGAATAATTCATACTGGTGAGAAGTTTTATAATTGTAATGAATGTGGCAAGGCCTTAAGTTCCCATTCAACTCTTATCATTCATGAGAGAATTCACACTGGAGAGAAACCATGTAAATGTAAAGTGTGTGGGAAAGCCTTCAGGCAGAGTTCAGCTCTCATTCAGCATCAGAGAATGCACACTGGAGAAAGACCCTACAAATGCAATGAGTGTGGGAAAACATTCAGGTGTAACTCATCCCTTAGTAATCATCAGARAATCCATACTGGAGAGAAACCCTATCGATGTGGGGAATGTGGGATGTCATTTGGCCAAAGTTCAGCCCTTATTCAACATCGAAGGATTCATACAGGAGAGAAACCCTTTAAATGTAACACATGTGGGAAAACTTTTAGACAAAGCTCCTCACGTATTGCACACCAGAGAATTCATACAGGGGAGAAACCCTATGAGTGCAACACATGTGGGAAACTTTTCAACCACAGGTCATCCCTTACTAATCACTATAAAATCCATATGGAAGAAGAACCCTAGAAAGTACATTTGCATGTGTAAAAGCCTTAAACCAAAGCTCATCAGAGAACACATACTTCAAGAGTGATGTAATAAATATTGAAAAAGCCTATAATCATTTAGTGCCCATTAGCTATCAAATCCCATGGACAAATCTTGATTATGTAATAGCTAAAAGGAAAGCATTCATGCCTGTCACTTTTTAAAATAACCTGAGAATTCATAAGTGGAGACACYAACTTTGGGCATTTGTAAAATAAAAGGTGTTTGATTTTCCTCTTTCCTACAGCAGTGTAGTCTAGCTATCACATGTGATCATCATAAACATCAAGTGGGTAGGGATTTCTCTGGTTTTCTCATAAAAGCACCAAACTCTACACTGGTGATATTTTTTATAACATTTTAGTAGCATATGAGTGAATGAATCAAAGAAATTATACGTTTTTAATGAAAAGGACCAAAATAAAAGATTAAAATAARCTGTAAACTACCTCTCAGTCTCTGGGGTTTATCCTTTTCTTGTCTTAATGTCAAACTTTGCACATGGATTTCATTTAAAATAAAAAAGGATTTCAGGGGCTGGGATTGTGGCATAGTGGTAGAGCACTCGCCTCGCACATGAGAGACCCTGGTTTGATCCTCAGCACCATATAAAAATAAATAAACAAAATAAAGATACTGTGTCCATGTATAACTAAAAAAAATTTTTTTTAAAGATTTTATTAAAGAAGAGAAAGAAAAATCTGGTCTGTAATTTAGTAATTACTGTGAATTGAAAATTTCCACCTAATTTTTGTTTTAAGAAGAAAAATTATTGTTTTGAAATCATTTATTATGAAAGTATACCATTAATATCTTGTGAGCTGTCACCTAGGGGTATTAAATACAAAATAGGAAACTATTTCAATTTTAAAGCTACTATGAGGTTTTTTCATTAAAAAATAAAATAAAATTTAGCCAGCCTCAGTAATTTAGCAAGGCTCTAAGCAACTCAAAATCTTGAAAAATGTTTCTGTGGTGTGAATGCTGTTTCTCAAAATATTCTTATGTTGAAATTCTAACCTCTGAGGTTATATTAAGAAGTAGGGCCTTTGGGGAAGTGATTAAATCATGATAGTGGAGTCCTTGTGAATGGGATTTGTGCCCTAATAAGATAGTCCCAGACCTGGTGAGGTGGCCCTCATCTGAAATCTCAGCAGTTTGGGAGGCTGAAGGCCGGAGGATCACCACTTCAAAGCCAGCTTCAGCAACTTAGCCAGGCCCTAAGCAACTTAGAAAGACCTGTCTCAAAACAAAGTTTTTTGAAAAAAGGTTGAGTACATAGCTTAGTGGTTAAGTACTCCTGGGTTCAATCAACAGTACCAAAAAAATACAACCCTGGTGTAACTTGCTCAGCCCTTTAATCAGAGGATGCCATCTTTGAACCAGATGACCCTCATCAGACAACCGACTAGCACCTTAATCCTGGAATTCCCAGCCTCAACTGTGAGAAGTTTCTATTGTTCAAAGTTACCCAGTGTTGGATATTTTGTTATAGCAGCCCAAATAGACTGACATTAATTACTTTATAAACTTGGTGTTTTTCCCTCCAAATGCTAGTGATTAAACCTAGGGCCTCCTGCATGCTAGGCAAGCGTTATATACTACTGAGCTCTATCCCGCAACCCAGTATTGTTTTTTTTATCCCTGCTTCGAGATGTGTACTATACTACACATTGCAAATTTTAAAAAGAAAGACACAGACCTTCTTTCAAGAAGCCATGGAGTAGGGGAAGAGAAAGGAGGTGAGGGACTATCAAAGGAATATGGAAATATCTCTCAGTATATAACTGCTTGTTTTAACAGACAAAACAGTTTAATATGACAATATGTTGCAGTGCAAGAATGTTGTAAAATTTTGCACCAGATGAAAAAAGAGATGTAGGGGGCCTGGAGATATCAAAGAAAGCTTTGTAGAGGCAATAAAGGCCTGAGCCAAATTTTGGAATGATAAAAAACTCTTGCGAAAGTGAGATAAGCATTTCAAATAAGTAAACTACATGTGCAAGAGTACAGGTGAGTAATATGGCACATTAGGAAACTTGCGTGTAGAGCTAGTGAGCAGAAGAATAAAAGATRTTAAAGCCTGAGGAGAAGGCAGAGGCCACATAACAAAAGGCCTCATTTGTCATGGTAAGGAACTTGTGTTTTATCCTAWAATTAATATTCAGCCAAATGTGTGGGGCATGCCTGGAATCCCAGTGACTCTGGAGGCTGAGACAGGAGGATCACAAGTTCAAAGCCAGCCTCAATAATTTAGAAAGGCTCTAAGCAACTTAGCAAGACCATGTCTCAAATTTTTAAAAAGAGATGAAGATGTGGCTCAGTGGTAAAGCCCCTCTGGGTTCAATCCTGGTACCTAAAATAAATAAATAAAATTATATTAATATCAAGCAAGGGAATTTGTTCAGTAACAATGTAGAGAGGATCAATTTAGGAGGAGGTTAAAGAAACCTAGATAGACTGATGCCTAGAAATTTAGACTATTGTGATTCAAGTGATAAATGAATGAGAATACAAATTCAAGGAAGTGCTGCAAGGATGAAGAATAGGAGACAAATAATCATTTATTAGAATAAACAGGGTTATCCCAGGCAAATAGGAGAGGGTGTTGAGTGACAAGAAAGCTAATCTGGCCCACAGATAAGGCTGCCAGAYAGATGTCCTATATTTAATGATTACGTCTTGAATCCTGTACTGTCAGGACACCCGCAATGTATTCAAAAATTGTCTTCCCATTAGTAAAAAATCAGCAGTTAGAGCTATTTTTCTGCCTCTGTGATTGTCATTTAAATCACCCAAGTAGCAACACAAGCCAAAATCACCTCTACAAAGTGATCTGAGCAATCCTTGATGGTGAAAGAGAACTGAGAATTGAAAGTACTTGTTTTCCATCTTAAAGAAAGGATAAGTTTTGGCCAAAGTTCCAAGTTGTAAACAAATAATTATTTATAATTAGATGTCCAAACAGCACACACGCTCCAAAACCAGGGCCAGCCTCATTCCAGTGGACCTCCTTCTGAAAGTTAGGAAGTTAATGCCAACCTCTAGCTTCTGAAAGACCATCATCAGTTTCATGCTTCTAGTCAACAATCAGAAAGGACCTCACTTCAGAAACCATGTTCGTGAAAGGACACTAGTCAATAGCCTATTCTAGTGACCACATTAACACAGTTGAAAA